AAAACAAAATTAAAATGTAAAATAAAATAATGAAGGTAAAGTGAAGTGAAGTGAAATAAAATAACCGTTTCCTGGCATTGAAAAAATTGCCCAAATATATTAGAACGACCCCTCATTTTATTACTTATTTAAGGATGTATTTTGATACCTTCATTAAATACAGAATGGCTGATATCAGGTTCAGTGTAATCTATACAGGATATTTTGGGTAGGAAACGAAGATCAAGATGCATGGATGAACCTTGCTATGTTCAGTGCTATGACATTAAAAACAACCACAGTAACAATAACAACACCAGAAGAGAGAACACACACAAATACGCCTGGCGAGGAAGGGCTACAATAAATGACGCCCCCTCCATACAAATTGGTTCACGTCCTCATTGAATACTACATGAACTATGATTGGCAAGTTGCTCTTACTTGCGTTATGTCAGCCTTGTTCGTTTCATTTTTGGATCGATCCAATCTTATAGGTATATGCCGTTTACACTAAGATACGTTTGCAGCCGGTGGAAATTAAAGTGTATTAAAGAGGCAGTTTTCTCGTTGAAAACTAGTATTAAAATTTTGGTTGCGGGGCTGACTCCCAAACATGTACTTGGCGATCTAAGGACTTTTCTAATCAGTATTGATAACATTCTGTGTGATTTAAAACAAAAAAGAAATACATTTTTTAGAGAGGAAGTCTCATTAGCCTTAACTGGTTTTCATGGTGGTTCCTCCATCCACGTCGAATTGGAATTTGAAGATGTTGATTTTTGTGGAGGGAGGAAAACCAGAGATACCGGAGAAAAACCGTCGGAGCAAGGCGAGAACCAACAAGAAACTCGACCCATATATACGGCACCGGGCCGGAATCGAAAATGGGCCACATCGGTGGGAGGCAAGCGCTTTCACCATTGCGCCATCTCTTTTTCTAAAATTGATGAAATTATTGTGATTTAAACATGTTTTCCTCGTATATGAAGATTCATTGGAGGGGAACAATCCCCTCTACAAAAATACGAATTGCGATCAATTCAATTTTTGGACTCCGTATCTTAAAACCCTTCAGGGCTGGCAAAAAACTTTGTTGTAACATCCTAATGCGTGGTTCCTACTGAACATTTAAAAACAAGTGAAAAACTAAAAAGCCAGCATCCGTGGAATTGAAAATGGTATTGGTCACTTAAAAGAAGATTCTCTCATCGTAACGAATACATCTGACTGAAAAAAATTTGGACTTTG